AAAAAAAAAACTTTTTTCTTACAGTTTCAATGGGTTATTTAGTTCCAATGGCATCTGTTGACAATGAAAAATGACCACTGTAGCTACAACTCTGCTTTGGCTAAAAATGCTTAATTATAATGTTTCTATTTAAGGTAAGTTCCCTTTCTATCTTAAGAGCCTTGACCAAGAAAACAGCGTGGAAAATGTCCACAGCAGTGATTCGTACCCAGTTGCCTACAACTCTCTCAAGGCAGGAAACCAGCAGGGAGGGATCCCAGGAATGCCACTTAAGAGTCTTTCAGGGACCGGCAGGCAATCACAGAGGGGACCGCATCGGATCCCCCCCCACCCCTGCCTCATCCGCGTGAAGTTCACAGTCAGAGGTCACCCACATCCTTCCCTGCGTTCACAGCCACAGAAGCCTCCTCCATAAGCGTCGTTCTCACAGACCTGCACTTCATCCCCAGCCCCTTCTCCCCACCAGTCAGACAACAGGGGGCTTCTCTTGAACCGCACGGCACAATCCTCCACTGCACACCTGAGTCTCCCGCTGTGGACAGGTAAAAGAAAAACCGACGGAAGCCCGCTGTCCACCTTGGAGAAGAAAAATAATAGAAGTGCCTCGGGCAGCGTCACCGAGGCCGACGCAGCTCCCTGACACGCTGGCTGCTCAGAGGCTCCTGGTTCTCAGCGTGGCCTGCACGCAGGACAGGCGCTGAGCAGCACGTAAGAGGGTGGCGATGATACGTGAAAATCGGAATGCATCCCGGAGGAGAACCTGAGAGCCACCCCCATCCCTCCATCTGCTTTCTCACGACTCAGGCGGATCGGCTAGTGTCTGAGAGCTGACGGGTGGAGGCCAGGGGTCACCTCTGACCCCCAGGTCGTCTCTGTCCGGCCCACTCACCTCACACTAGTCTCTGACGTTGTCATACAAAGATCAGTACTTCTGTGTCCGAAACCCGGCTCCACTGACGGTGTAGATTATGATTTTACACGTGATGACCTTAAGGTGCCACAGAGAAGCCCCGCCTGTGCCCCAGGCCCAGGTGGGGTGCAGCTGGTCTTTGCTCCTCACAGAGGCCATCTCTTATCTTTGGGATCATTTCCTGAGGGCTGACTGCCGTCTCTCCACAGGAGACATGGCCAGCTCTGCTCTCCCAGGCAGCACAGACACTCCACGGGATGTCTTCCCCTGGACGCCTTCTGAGCTGCCTCTTTCGTTCCTCGTGAATCACGGTCTCGGCCTCCGGCAAAGCGACTGCTTTATTTGCTGCTGCTGCCTTTGAAACAGGTAAAAGTGGAATCCTCAAGAGTTTCGGGGGGGCAGGAAGCAAAATGGGCCTGGAAATGCTCTTTAAGGATCCATTTTCATGCAGCTATTCTGTATTGTGGGTTAAGAAAATCGGTCTGAGAGGAGAAAACATCTTCAAAACCACTGCATTTGGGTTCCAGTCCTCAGGGCGGATTTCTGCGGAGGGACGAAGCGTGAAGAACAACGTTCGCCGGGCTGGGCTGCTCTGTATTTCACTCCATCGAATCCCCTCTGCGGGCCTGCAAGGAAACCCCCACGTCACCGAAGACGCAGAGAGTCTGTGGTCTGACGCCTCACAGGCTGGTGGAGGTGTGGGGCCCCCACGGAGCCCCGCCTCACACCCCAGGCCACACCTGCCTCCAGAAAGACCCCTCCCCGGGGCCCCAGAGACTCTTTCCAGATCACCCCGGGGTTGCTGCTGCCACAGCCCAGTGGTGGAGGGGGCGTGCGGGGCCTCAGACCCCTGAGGGCCGGCAGACATGCTCAGAGTGAGGACAACGCGGGTATGTCACGTGTGTGCTGCTCCCGGAAGCGGCCCAAGCTCATTTGCATGCAGAAAGGACCTCTGCTGAAATCTGAGCCCTCTTATGGGCTCATTGCGTTTTTTCATGATACGTCTTCTCTGTGTGTTTATCACAGAGGCACCAAGGTTTGTTCCTAATGGGCGTTTCACACTGATTCTTTCAACATGGTAACCTGTTATTTGCATATTAATCACATAGGAATGGTCTTTGTTACAAAGAAACGTGTTATCTTGGAACACGTCACTCTGTCTGTCTTGAAACAGAGGTGGATACTAATCCTATTAATTCCGGCAATACTTACAAGTCACTCACCCTGTGCCAAACTCTGTTATCAGCACTTCCCAAAGATAAAATAGTTTAATCCCACAATCACTCCATCTCTATCCAGTGGGTAGATACAAAATTTTCCCTGTTTCAAAGTTGAGGAAACGGAGGCAGAAGGAGTTCAAGTAACTTGTTCAAGGTCACACAGTTAGTAAGTGGTGATATCAAGAGATAGTGCTCTCCCATAAGAAAAACCCTACAGTGCGCTTATTGATAGCTACCAACTAACAGCCAACCCCAGTGAGATGCTGTGAGTGTAATAAGAAAAATATATTTGGTCTTCGTCCTCGGTTCTGGCACAGAGTTCCTAAAACTGCAATTTCTTGAGTGATGAAGTGGTAAAGATGTCTTCTTATGTTATTAAGGTGACTTTTGGAAAGCCCCAAAGGATGGGGGCTGGTTGCCAGGCAAACCAACCATGTGATTAGAAGGTTGGAACTTTGCATCCCACCACCCCCACCTGGACCTCCAACCTCTGGGAAGGGAGAAGGGCTGGCAGTTGACTCAATCACTAGCGGCCAATGATTTTTAATCAATCGTGCTTATGTTATGAGGCCTCCATAAAACCCAAAAGGACAGGGTTGGAGAGCTTCGGGGTTGGCAAACACATGGAGATTCGAGGAGAGAGGCACGCAGGGGCAGGGCACAGAGGCTCCACACCTGGGCCCTGCATCCCTTCCACCTGGCTGTTCCTCAGTCATATCCTTTCAGAATAAACTGGTGACCTAGTGAGTAAAACGCTTCTCTGAGCTCTCTGAGCTGCTCTAGCAAATTAATCCAACCCGAGGACAGTGTCATGGGAGCCTCCGTCTATAGCAGGTCCCTCAGAAGCCCAGGGGACAGCCTGGACTTGCGATTGGCATCTGAAGGGGGGGGGCGGTTTCATGGGACTGAGCCCTCAGCCTGCGGGATCTGACACCTCGCCAGGTAAACAGTGTCAGGACTGAGCCGAACGCAGGACACCAGCCGGCGTGGGAGCAGTGCTCGGTGACGGTGGGGAAACTCCGCCACACATATGGGAATGGGGTTCAGAATCTTTACCCAGTTTTGAGGGAACAGTAGGGAGCAAAGGGGACTGGGGTCAACAAGATAGCAGAGCCCCCTCTGGCCTGAGACTTGGGGCCGTCTAAGAGCAGCCTGATTCCAGATTGACAGACCTTCCCATTCCTCCACAGACGCCTGAAATGTATGATTTTAAGGCAAATGTCCTGATTTTTTTTTTTTATGTTGGCCCAAATCGAAAGGAAAAAGAGAAAACACTCAGCAAGTGAAACAACACAGGCTCACGTCCTATACCCGTTTGCTCCTTGGGTCCAAGAGATGCTACAATGCTGAGGCGCAACTGTTCTCGCGTTTAGACAATTGAGGGGACCGGATGTGCTCTGGAAAACAGAAGCTTCTTCGCTTTGCAACTATTTCATCACGGGGGAGATGCAAGGTCCCTTTATTCACTGGAAAACCGTCATGTGCCCTAATGAATTGCTCAGCGTCCAAAGGCGTCAAATCCATCATCGCTGTTTTTATTTTTTGAAAATGATTAAATATCATTTTCTTTCCCTTTATAGCAAGATCCAAGTGACAACCGATCCATCAGCTTATCTGCGGCTGTTTAACTACAGCGTTTTGCATTCATTATTTCCTACTTAAATCATTCTTTTGAAAAGAGGGATAACCTAATTCCCCCGCCTGACAGCCGGGAAATTAAATGGCGTGTCTTTAAAATGAGTGTCTCTCCAAACCAAACACCCATAGCAGATCCATAAAATCAAGGCAGAAGAACATCAACCCAAAATAAGATATCCAAGGACCAGCTCCTGGGACACTCGGAAGGTTAAGAAGCCTTGGAACCCCAAACACAAACTTGCCAATTGGTAAACCATTTTGGAGAGCAGTGTGGCAGCAGAAAAGTGAAACTATGTACAGCCGAGAAGGCAGCAGTCCCATTGCTAGGACAGACCCTGGAGCTCGGGCATCACACTTTGTCACTCCCACCCCCAGCAAGAAATAGCTTTTGTATAGCAACTTAGGAAATTCAATACATAAGGGTTGCTAAAGTTCCATGAGATAATTTTCCTTATTATACGCTATGGACTCTGATACTTTCTAGCCTACGCTAATCTATTAAATTTCCCGTTCATTTTTTTAGATAGGTGTCATGACTCCTTAATGGACTACAATCTCAATTTAAAAATCACTATCCCAGAGGAACTAGTGCAAACATTTAAGATTGCACGTACGAAAATGGGCCCTAGGATCTATAAGAGCAAAGAGTTTACATAATATTCATCTATCAACAGAAGGATGAGTAAATAAATTATGAAGTACATGTATTATGGACGACTATTCATCAGAGGCAATGAAAGAACTACAGCTACATGAATCGACAGGGTTTAATTTAGGAAACGGTCCATGGAGCCCAAAAGGCAAGTTGCAGGATGAGTCTTAGAGCACAGGGCCATTTATATGGGTTGAAAACACACCTAAATGGTTTCTATAGAAAGTTACCTGCCTTAGTTTGGGCTGCTCTAACAGAGTAGCACAGACTGTGGAGGTATGTGTGGGGGGCGGGGGGAGGGGAGGAAGGAATCAACAGACATCAATTTCTCACAGTTCCAGAGGCTGGATTCCAGTCCAAGGTCAAGTGCTGGTAGGTTCAGTGCCTGGTGAGACCCACTCACTTCCTGGTTCACAGACGGCAATCTTTTTTCTGTGTCGTGATGGAAGGAGCAAGGGCGCTTCCTGGGGTCTCTTGTATAAGGACACTAATCCCACTCATGAGGGATCTGCCCTCATGACGTCACCACCTTCCAAAGGCCCTGCCTCCAAGTACCATCACCTTGGGGGGTCAGGATTTCAGCCTATGGATTTGGGGGGACACAGACATTCAGACCAGAGCAGCACCTATGTCGTAAAATTAAATCAACATTCATAAGAGATAAACATGGAATTGAGGAGAGTGGTTAAATCTCCTGAAGGGGAGGGCAATAGGGAGAGTGTTATTTGTTTTTGCTTTTGTTTTTTTTTTTAAGCTCTGCAGCAAATTTGGGGAACTATCCACCTGAGACAAAGCTATGTGGTAGACTGATAGGTGTTTGTCACAATATTCTCTATATTTGAAAGGATGCTTAAAATCGTTCCTAAGTTAATCGCTCACAAAGGTGACCAAGGTCAACGTCGGTAGTGATCAATCATGTGGGTAATCCGTACCCTTGATATGATGGGATGAAGATGGCACTTCCCAAAAACCTATAACCGCAGTCTAATCGAGAAGGAAAAAACTCAGGCCAATTCCAACAGGGGGGACATCCACTCGATCCCAGACCAGTCCTCATCCTCACTGTCTGGCTCATCAGAACCAAGGAAAGTCTGAGAAAGGTACAGTCGAGAGGAGCCTCAGGAAACAGGATGAATCATGTAATGTGGGACCAAGAAAAGGACATTAGGTAAACACTAAAGAAATCTGAATAAAGTATTATGGAGTTGAGTTAATAATAAAAGATCGGTATTGGTTCATGAACTGGAACAAATGTGACAAATATAAGGGGCTAATTTGCGGGGAACTGGGGGTGGAGTGGGTGGGGAACTGATAGGGGAAATCTCTGTACTGTCTGCTCAATTTCTCTGTAAATTTAAAACTGGCCTGAAAAGTCTATTAATTTAAAAACATAAAGGGGGTCATCTGGTAAGACAAGGAGACCTCGGGTGGGAGGCTGCACACCCCTCCCGCGAGTGGCATCAGGCTGCCTAACCAGCCACGTTCACGTTCAGGCTGCAAACCGCCCATGGTCAACAGAATACTGAACCATGCTCTGCAGGTACCTATGGAAAGCAAGCTAGGATGCTGGCCACGGAACTGGATAAAGCCAAATCAAACGCCCTTTCAAAAGACACAGAGGTTTCTTCTCACGCAGAAAGGGGGCTAAGCAACATCATACCTTCTATGTAGGTTGAAAGGTTCGGGGCAAGAATCGATGCTTCATTGAGACAGGCGGCATTAAACGAACACTTCCAAAGCATCAAGAATTGTCTCCAGGAAGCCAGAGGAGTGATGGTGGGGACACAGAGGGAGGCAACCACTCGAAGGTTCACTGGATTGCTTTTGTCAAAGGCTTGCGCTGGAACTGGGGGAGGTTGCATGGTTTCAGTGATCACCTTGGTCAGTGGCATCATGCCCCCATAATTAACATGTCAAAAAATAAACAAAGATGTCAAAATAATGACATGAAAATAAAATGATTTCATGGAGCGGCTGGGGTTTCTAACAAACACCAACACAAAAGGCCAAATACAGAGCCGTTCCCATTAGCGTCCACTGTGCAAGTCACCCTCGGTTAGTTTCATCAACTACCCGTTAGAAATGTGGCCTGAAGGCTCCGATACGGACTCACCATGCCAGCAGACCTTTGGAGAGAAAGCCTCCAATTTCCTCGGACTCAACATCTGCCTGCAGAAGGGAACTACAAAAGTTAAGCCCCACGGTAGAAATAGAAGCTGCACTCGGTAAGAAAGGGCATGTTGGAATCTAAATGACACCCGGCGTTTCCAGGACAAACTCATTCTCTATTTTTATGCCACAAAGGCCCTGAGGAGCAAGACACAGGCTCGCAGTGATTAA